CCGCCCCCGCCCGGCACCCCGCAGGCCGGTGGGCGCGGGCGGACTCGGCGGGCGACAGCCGCCACTGTGCCCCAGGGCCACTCCCCTAGCTTATTGCAAGTGAACCGTGGACCGCAGGTCTCAATCCCAGCCGTCTGGCACTGGCAAGTAACCCCCCAAAAGAATTCGTGCCGGCCACGCCCTGCTCCGGATGATGGGGGGCACCTGTCAGGCAGCAATTATTACCACCCTTCCTTAGGGCAATCATCAGGACAGAAAAACGGGGTGATGGGGAGTGAGCTGCCGGGGCTAGGTGGGAAGGGGCTACTGAGGAGGTTCAGCAGGCTGGGGTTGGAGTGGTAAGAAGGGGCGCCCCTGCCTGGTGGGTGCCAGGCATCCTGGACCCTCCGCAGCCCCCCCCCCCAGACCAGAACTACTGTCAGCACCCTGCAGGGAGAGGGAGGCAGAGTGTACTCAGTAGCCTGGGCTTAGGGGCGCACTGTGGGTACCCAGAGCCACTGACTGGGGAGCGGCAGTGACTGTGAACTCAAGGGTCTGGCACAGCTGGGGGCAGCCCCCCCCCCCGTCTTCCGGAGGGTGGGGCCGGCGCCCCTCTCCAGAGGCTCAGGGAGGCCCAGAGGGCGGTGGGCCGGGAGAGCACACCCCACCCCCTGCCTGTGGGGCAGCCAGGGGCGGCTGGAGGAGAGCTGCCAGGCTGGGGGCTGCGCCGCCCGGGCACAGCCTGCGCATCCGGAGGCCTTGAGAGGGCCCTGCCTCCCCTCCCCCCGCTGCTGCCCACACAGGCCCACAGGGCTGGCCCTGGACAGCTGCACCCAGCACCTGGCCCAGCCACCAGCTCTGGAAAGGCTGCGGAAGCTGTCTCCAGGGAGGGGCAGCCCGGCCAGGGGAGCTGCCAGCGATACCATCCCGCAGCCTGCCACCTGGTGGCGCCATGCAGGCCACTCGCTCCTGGCAAGGGGCCTTCCAAACCAGACCTGTGGGCGGTGGGTGCGGCAGCTTTCCAGGAGGCCTCCAGCCACCCAGCTCGGCCTTGCCCCCTTCATGGGACATTGGCCACAGGGGCTCGAGGCCCCCGCCCAGCGGCTTCAGGCCAGGGGAGGAGGGAGCCTTGCCCTCGCAGACTGCCTTGGCTCTGCTGCCAGCTGGGGCTGCTCCCCTGGCTGTCCTGAGCCCGTGAGCAGCAGGGGTGCTGTGGGCGCAGCCCTCCTTGTCTGGGGCCACCACCCCCTCCCCCAGGACTAGAAACACCTGCAAGTCAGTCCCGTGATGGCTGCTGACCCCCTCTGGTTGCTGTGGACACCTCCCTGTGGCCAGGGGTGAGTGCACGGTGGGCAGTCTCCGGTGTTAAGGAGAGCCCGACCCAGCAACAGCGTACCCCTAGGAGACCCCTGCCCGCGGGGCAAGATGCCAGCACCACTGGCATGCTTGACCCCACACAGGCGGGTGCAGCCACAGTCCCGGCTTACAGGGTCTTCCCGGCTGGCTTGGGTTTCTGGCACAGCCTGCCTGTGGGTTCATAAATGGAGAAGATGCTTCTTCCCTTTGCCACCTGATTTCCCCTGCCCACAACACCCTACTGTCTCCCACCCTCCAGATGTCATCTTTGGGGCTCCCATCATTCATCTGCTAGGTTCACACACACACACACACACACACACACACACACACAAGCTTTGCGGGAAGCACCTGTTCAGCCCTCACCCCCCACCCAAGGGCCTCCACCCCTGGTGGGGCCTATCTCTATGGTGGACCCCAACCTGCCTAAGGCCTGCACCCTAACACCCACCCACTCCATTCTCTGGATTATAAATGACTTGTTCCAAATAACCAGCAAGACCCAGGACCCTTCAGTGGAAGGGGGCAAGGGGAGGAAGATTCAAAAGTCCAGAGTAGGCCCTCCCTGGTGGCGCAGCGGGTTAAAGCCCAGCACTGAGAATCTGAAGCCACTTCCGCATGAGTTCGATTCCCGCCTGCCTCCTGCACCGGAGGAGACCACATGGCGAGCCAGACCTCTCCTGACCCGCCCGCTGCTCCCCTCAGCAGTGTACTTCGTAGATCTGCCTGTTCTGCTCCCCGCTCTGTCTCTGGTGAAGCCTCTCACCGCCCCTGAGCCTCTGGCCTGTACCCCAGTTCTGTATGCACAAATAAATAAATAAATCTTTAAAAAAAAAAAAAGTCCAGAGTAACTGAAAAGGATTTCCACACTGTCATTTTGCAGATTCAGGCGGGGAGAGGATGTTCCGGGGGGCCTTGTTCTCCAGCTTCTCCCCCCAGGAGCTGAGCTCACTCAGCCGGGGGCAGCTGTGGGTGCAGGGGGCTTGGTGTGAGCCTGCATGTGGGCGCCTGCAGGCATCAGGAGGGAGCCGCAGAGTCCTTTTCCGAGCCCTTACAGAGCAGTTACTTTGCAGGCGGCTGGCGCACTGGTGGGCGACAGGACTCAGCACGGCTGAGGGTCTCCGGGCTCAGGCACCCCCAAGTTCTGCTGTGGCACGCACGGATGGCTTTCTCTCATAGCTAGGTCTGCTCCAGGTTAGTGGAGGTGAGGGAAGCCCCTGCTCCCCAGTGCCGGCTGCTTGGTGTGCAGGGGCCAGAGCGGCTGGCGGCTGAGGCCTGTCCAGCCCTGCCTTCCTGAGGCGCTTTCTGGTCTCAGCTTCCTGAGGCGTGGGGCCTGCGGAGGGGTCCTTCCAGCACCCCGGACAGTGCCCTGACTCCACAGGGTTCCTGCTCTGCACCCCCCCCTCCCCCATGGCGTCAGTGCTCAAGACCATGGCAGACGAGTCTGTCTGCAGTCGGTAGTGCCTGGTCGTGCCCTTCCCCGCTGACGGTTACCCAGCAGGCTGGGGGAGGGCCGCCCCCGCAGATGGGCGGGGTTGCTGCCCACCTGCTGCAGCAAGGGCTGAGCAGCTGGGAGGCTGCCTGGATGGCCTCTGGGGCCCAGGACGGCCCCACCCCACCCATCACAGCAGCTCTGACTGGCTGGGTGAGAACCCGCGGGAGCCAGTTGAAATGCAGGCGAGGGAGGGGAGCTCGGGGTTGCCTCGCCTTCCCTGGACTTCAGGCTCCCCATACAGAACCTGTGACCCAGGTGAGACCTAACTTTGAGAGAATTTTTAAAAATCATTTATTTATGCACCCAGAACTGGGGTACAGGCCAGAAGTGGCGGGTGAGGCTTCACCAGACGCAGTGGGGAGCGGAACAGGTATTGATAGGATGCACTCCCGAGGGAGCAGCAGGGAGACAGGAGCCGTCTGCTGCTGTGGGTCGCTCCTGGCGCGGATCCAACTCCTGCGGAAGTGGCTGTGTCTAGCCTTGGGACACTGTGCTCCAACCCTTTGCGCCACCAGGGAGGGCCTACCTCCGAGGGAATTCTGTGCAGTCCTCTGGGCGTGGGCAGGCTGTCCAGCCACTGGGCCTCCGGCCCAGTAGCAAGGACCCGACCAGCCCAGACCCTCTGCAGGCCGCTCCCCCTCCAGCTCAGCCTTCTGCTCCCAGAGCCCCTGCTGGGGAGAGCGCCCAAGTGGAAACCGCCTGGGAACTCTAGCCCTGGCCTGGCAGTCCCGCCTGCTGGGTCCCGGCGGTTAGGGCTGGGCGCCAGGAGGAGCCGCTGAGCCCGAGCCAACTCCTCCGCCCCGTCGAGGCGGGGCCACAGCCAGCAAGGCAGGGTCTGGTCCCATCGTCTGCCTCCGCCGGGTCAGGCCAGCTTCCATGACACTCACGTACACCCCTACAGGTGCTCAGGGGGCGCTCCGGACCTCGATCCACGGACGCACCCCAGCGCCCTCCCCTGCGCCCTCGACTCCCTGCCCAGGCCAGCGCTGGAACAAAGGCGGGAGGTGGGACCTGCGGGCGCGGCCGGGCGGTCGGGGAGTGGCCGGGCGCGGTGGGCG